TTTTTTCCGAAAGAAAAAATGTGGGTGTTACAGATGTGTCCTACTCCTGGTAAGAAACATATCATCAAAAGTACCTCAATAGGCACTATTTATGTCCTACTTCAATGAAGTATGAGTCTTCTAACCAATAACAGGCACCTGAAAGTTTGGGAAGAGAGAAATCTGTCATAGAAAGGTACTCACCTATAGTATCTGAAATAATTAAAATGCAGGTATGTGGATTAAATTCCTGAGTAACCTTTTTATAGCCCCCACTCTTCAAATAATAAAAGGGATGTCACACTGTGTATTTTCCAGAAAAGGATGTGCAGGTAAGCGGCGGGCTAGAAATTTAGAAGATAACAAAGCATTTTTGAAAGAAAAATTGGCATCACAAATTTGCATGCTTTCATGTGCAAGGCCATATTAATCTTGTATGTATTGTTGAAGCTTTGGTGGAGGGATTAGCAAAAATGAGCACAAAATGAATTTTGATAGAAGGTGTTGTACTATTTCATGTTCACATCTATCATTTTAAGAGCAGACGGAATTATATACAAGAATGCTAATATAAACAGAATAAACAGTAGAGCTCAAGTTCCTAAGACTATACCAAGAAATAACGTTAAGATAGAACAGCACATAGGGAATTAGATACTAAACAAAAATCACAGAATGAAGAATTAGAAAAAAGCATGCATTTCAGAATGTTATTTTAAACTAAATTAAAAAGCTAAAAAGAAAAACAAATTGCAACCAAAGTGAAAAAACCAAAAGACCCAGAAGGTAAAGACTTGAGTTCCAAATGCAGATATCCATATAAGCAGCTAAGAGAACTTTAACAAGTCACTTAGAAACTCAAGAGACTGCACTAATAAACGTGAAGGTTCTAAGTTAGAGCATATTTTAAAGATGTCAAATACAAAATTAACACCTAACTCATATCCTCCCACTCCAGCAAGTTTCCTCCCCTCAGCCATACCAAACATCCAGAAATTGAGAAGTATGAAATAAAAATAAGTTTAAATAATGAATTTTTTAGGTAACAGAGGAGACAAAATTTAAATCTTCTTTCCTGGGTTAAAAAGAACAACAGCCGGGCGTGGTGGCGCAGGCCTATAATCTCAGGACTTGGGAGGCTAAGGCAGGAGGATCGGTTCGAGTTCGAGGCCAGCCTGGGCTACAAAGTGAGCTCAAGGCCAGCCTCAACTGCATAGCAAGACCTTGTCTCAAAAAGACAAAAAAAACAAAACAAAAAGAACAACAACAAAATTTACCTTTTACAAATACAAGTGTGTCAAGAAGGAACTCATGACATCTGCACTAGGAAATGTAGGTCACTCTGTGTGCAGACAACTGTGCTCCAGTGAAGGCACTGGGCATTGCACAGCATTTTCCTGCCAAGGCTTTGGATTTCATTGTGATATTCTCACTCAATAACCAAGGTTCTTATTCAAAAATAAATTTAACATGACCTACTCTGACAATAATTATTTTTAAAAAACTACGCAAACCACAATAAAGTAGTATTTGATTAAATGTAGCTTAAACTTCAATTACTCAATTGATAAAAGCACTTTCTCCAATTTTTGATATTAAGAAACAAAGAAAAATACAGTACAGAGAAACGATTAGCTGAAAGCCTATACTAATGTGGGCAGGTATAAGAATGATAGGTCTCATCTCAATCAGCAATAAACCATTATTAATGTCTTCACTACACTTGAAATCTACATTCCAAAATCCTCAAGAATATAGCAAAACAAACATTAGGCAGATTAAAAAAAATTCTTTGGCAATATGGAGAAAATGAACTAGAGCCATTAAGAGTATTCTTTTTTTTTTTTTTTTTGGTTTTTCTCCGGTACCGGGAACTGAACTCCCGACCTTGCGCTTGCCAGGCAGGCGCTTTTGCCGCTGAGCTAAATCCCCAGCCCCCATTAAGAGTATTCTTGAATCAAGGAAGTTTCCCCAAATTTCTGTAACCTGAGTTCAAAAATACAGATACACAGGAAAATTGCAACACTGATTATCTCTAGTGAGAAGAACTGGGTTAGGATTTGGTGAATAAAAGAGCAAGGCATTTTTAAATAAATTCTTTCATTTACATTTTAATTTTGGAATTACCTATCAGAATAATTAAAATAGCTAATTCTAATCCATTAAACACTTGATAAGTAAGGATTCACCAAAATTAAATACTTTTACTCTTTAAAGGAAAATGAAAATGGTAAGTCATATTCTTCGAAGAAACATCTATAAATCACAGAGCTGATGAAGACTTATCAAAAATATGTAAATAATTACAAAATTTAGTAATAAAACAATCTATTAAAAATGAGAAAGGGATCTGAATAGCTGTTTCAAAGATATCCACAACTATAATTAAATGTGTGAGAATGTACTGATAGTCAATAAAGAAATGCAAATTAAAGCTGACACGAGACAGTACTACACAACCATTACAATGGCTGTTATGAAAGACATAAGCAATACATGTTAGGGAAGATAGGAAGAAACTACAATCTTCATGCATTGCTGGTGGGACTGTAAAATGATCCAACCAGAGTTTAGCAATTTCTTTAAAAATTATCATATAATCCAGTCATCCCGCTCTCAGGAATCTGCTCAAGAAAAATGAAATCATATGTTCACATAAAGACGCATATGTGAATGTCTATAGCAGCACTACTCATAAAAGTGAAAAGCTGGAAACAATCCAAATGCCCATCAATAATTAAATGAATAAAAAATGATATATCCACCCAAAGGAATATTTTCACCGATAAAAACAAACTGCTGCTTCTTGAATATAGATGAAACTCAAAAACATTGTTAGCAGAAAAAGACTACATAGTGTACAGTTCCAACTATGTGAAATATCCAAAAAGGGCAACTTACAAAAACAGAAAGTATGTTTATGGCTGGCAATCAAAGCAGAGATTAGCTATAAGTAAGTACAATGAATATTTTGAAGTGGTAAAATGTTCTAAAACTAGGTAATAGTGATAACTGTACAACTATAAATTTACTAACACTGAACTGTAAAAAAATTATTTAAATTGAACACTGGAAATGAAAACTACATAACAGTAAAGATGAATTAGGAATATAAACCAGCATTACAACCAGCTTATATTAATTATGTCATAACTATCATAAATAAGATGATTTGGAATAGCAACGATACAAAGAATTCCGTAACTAGAATGTTTAACAATCATTTGCTCCAGCACTACAGTACAAGACTGTGTATAAGAGATCACCAGGAACTTTGACTGTGTACAGTTAAGATAAATGATACATTAAGATTTTAAAGCTTTGTGGTGGCACATCGCTGTAATCCGAGCACCCAAGGAGGCAGAGGCAGGAGGATTTCAAGTTCAAGCCCAGCTCAGGGCTTAGTAAGAACTTATCTCAAAAAAATAAAAAAAAATAAAAATAAAAAGGGCTGGGGCCCTGGTTCTATTGCCAGTACCAGAGGCAAAAAGTCTTTAGAAAAATGTTTATAATCCTTAAAACAAACAAACCTGAAATTTCATAATTTTCAGTAGTGGTCAATGGCCTGCTTAATCCCTTACGGTATGGGTTCTGCTGGTATTTTTAGATGCCCTTTTTCCCCTTTGCCACTGAGTCTTTATTCATTTGAGAACTGCTGACCAGACACAGGTATGCCAGTATAACCAAGCGCACCTGACCAAGGAAAAGTACTACACCTACAGACAGAATGACACACATTCTGATCTTCATATTCTTTGTTTAGTCACTTGGGCTACAGTATCAATCCCTAATTCTACTTCTTAGGAATTAGAATACTAGAATTTACTTCCTTAGATTATTTTCTATTTGGGATTGAACTGAGGAACATTCTTTCACAGAGCTAAATCCCCAGCCTCTATTTTGAGACAGTTTTACTAAGCTGCCCAGGATGGCCTCAAACTTGCAATATTCCTGTCTCAGCCTCCAAAGCAGCTGGGATTACAGACATGCACCACTGTACCAGGCCTCTGTCTCAGATTCTTGAAATATGTGGTACAGTGAAAATCACATAGGTCCTACTGCAACTCTCTAACTTAGAATATATTCTTAAGAAAAATGATATTATCCAGGCAAGTTTTTGATCCTAAACGCAAGGCTCATAAAAAAGCAGCATTATTAAGTATTATTTTCATACTTACTAATACCTCACACCTCTTTCCACTTAGGATTTAAAAGTAGCAAGTTTTAAATTATTTATATGTAATGAGTACAAGTCTATGCAATACATTAATGAACATAGTAATGTGCCACTGTAAATTTCTTCTTAAAAACCAACCAATAATCAGCAAAATAATCAACAAGGCTGGGGTTATAGGTCATTCAGTAACCGGGCAATGATTAGGTGAAAAAGGAGAACATTATATGTTAAATATATTTAAATATTGCAATATAAAAATACAAAAATACAAAATGGTCCAAAATATTTTAAGTGCAAATGTGACGGCAGAAGTGGAAAATTCCACACTTCACTGCATGACAGCTCACAGTTGAAATACAGGTGCACTAAAAATACTGTATAAAATTAACTTCAGGCTATGTGTATGGTTTATATGACGCTTAAGCAAATCTCCAACATATCTCATTATGCTTATGCAATATTCCAAAAATCTGAAAAAAATTCCAAAACCCAAAACACTTCTAAATCCCAAGCATTTCAAATAAGGAATATCCATAGTAGATATACTTTCAAATTCACCAGAACTATATCTATAAATTAAAGATCCAGAGCCCCAGAGATGTGTTAAGGTATAAATTTTTTGAAAATGTATTTTATTTTGCAAAAAAATACAAGAAAAAAACCCCAAGGTCTTCTTTTGTTATTAGCGCTTCTGTTATGAAAGATATTCTCCTACAAAATAATGAAAACATTTTTGTGAAATAACTGATGTTACGCATAAATGAAAAATGCTTATTTTACCATAGTAATATAGCGCATAGAAAAGAGGACAAAAGAAATGGTTTAATGTTGTTGAATGCATTACCTTCAGGGGCAACTGCAGAAGGACAAACTTCTCTGAGGAGATCTCCTAGTGTTTGTAGCTGTCCATCTGCAGCCACAGGACGAAACAGCTTCTGAATGAAAGGCCGTTCAGTTGTCATCTATTGAAACATGAAAAACATAATCCAATCAATTAAATCTTTGTTGTTGCTATGTACAGATAAATAGACATAAATTTTATAATGGCACTGGAGGATCTTCTGATATGGTACAATCGAAGTATCCAACATCAAAGATGTAGTACCACAGAGAAAAATGTTTAACTCTAATATAACTTATAACTCTAATTCTCAGAAAACAAGCAAAGTTAGAATGCTGAACAAGGGCTGGGGATGTAGCTCAGCAGCATAAGCACCTGCCTGGCAAGCACAAGGTCCTGAGTTCAATTCCTGGTACCACAAAAAAAAAAAAAAAAAAAGATTCCCTATTAATAGAATGCTGAACATTAGTCACATGTCTGACAAAGGTGGTTTTTGTCACATATCTATAAAAGAATTTGTATATAACCAAATACTGTACAAAGATAAATCTGGCTGAATACTGTGTTGGAGAAGAAAGTTTTTAAAAACTGCACTGTGAAAGAGAATTTTAGGATAATTGGAAAATAGCTGTAAGAGCAATCATTATATAATTTGCTCTTAATAATTCCACTGTTTTGGCATGTTTAAAATGGTTTCACCTTCCTCAATACCTCATTGTGACTTAGAGCACAAAGATTTTGGAATGAGCCATGGTCTATGAAGAGTACTGCTATTCATGAGCTCTACAATCTTGCATTTACTTTCCTTTATCTGTTAATCTACAATATTTCATTTCACTTAAGCACTATTTGAACTGGGCCAAATTCAAAATAAATAAGTAAATATTACAAAGAATATAAATATCTTCCACCTTCCCTCTTAACTATTACTTCATTTAAAAATGTTACGTTTTAGTGTTATACTTCCTGGAGTGAAAACTTACAAAAACAAAGTAATGCTTCATATATACAAGTAAAGTTTCAAATACCTAACAATTAAAGAAAAGATATGTGTAAGTAGAGGGAAGAAACTTTTCTTGTTGGTTTGTTTCCTAACCAGAGATCTCAGTATCTTTGACCAAACCATCACAGCTTGGGTTTTTAAAATATCAAGTTCTAAGTGCTGACATAAAATGAAATATAAAGAAAAAATATAATGGTGAGCATATATGCAATCTTTCCTACCTGTACACCGTGCATTCAATAGATATACAATAGTAAGCATAATATTAAAGTAATATAGTTGAGTATTTACTGCTAGTATGAAAACACACTGTAGAAAACACTTGACATATTGATGATAATTAATATGCACGGAATATAATTCATCTCCTTTCATTAACTGAGCTGGTTAGGGCATTTGAAGACAGAGTATGATGGATATCTTTCTATGTAAGTAAGAAGCCCCATAACTTCCCATCCAAGTTGAAACCAAGAAAAATATGCCCAAGCATATTTTCATGATTAACTATGAAAAACAGTAAGGACTACAGGGGTTCAAAGCAAGAAGAAATGTATAGGGGACTGTAGTAACAACTTAAAATAGCCACCACCCACTTAGTGCTTTCTATCTTCCAGGCCATGAAGAGGCTTTTAAGACTCAGCAAAGGAAGTGACGTGATGAAAGAGGCTTTTTCTGAGGGCTGATGGAAAGCAGTGCTGTACGTGATGACTCGATGAAGAGGTGAAATCAGGATGACTGGTTGAGTGGCCTGAGTAAAGTAAGCCTGTGTGACGACAGCTGGGGCTGGGAAAGTGGGAAAGGAGGCACAGAAATATCCCAAGAAAAACTCAATGTGCTTCCTGAAGTCTGACCTGAAAAGATCAACACTGAAGAAATTTCTAAGAAGTTGAAGATCTCATTCATGCCCTAATTAGTTACAGAACTGTGAGAAGATTGGCTATAATAAAATTACATAAAAATATGTCAAACAGGAAAGGCCAAATGGTCTTACCTATTTAAAAATAAAAATTATCCTCTAAATCCCACTATTGGAAAAAAAGTTGTTATTTTTCTGTAGCTCTCCTTCTTGCACTATCTCCCAAACCTGACCCAAAACTATAATCTTCAACAGTCTTTTAAAATGAAGTATTTGCTTAGTGGGGAGAAGCTCAGATATTATGAAAATACTACTAAATTCAGTAGAATGGTAACCAAGAAAACTCTCAGCGAAGTAAAGTGTTGTTTGCATTTATCACAGGGTAAAATGCAAAAAAAAGCCCATTCCAAGTATAGCTTTAATACTGATAAAACAAGAAATGCTGATCTACTCTAATCAGATAAAAATAAAAAAATATACAATGTTACAGGCACAGCCACATCATAAACTAAGATCAAGTTTGAGTCTTATGTGAAACATAAAATATGCACTGCAACAACAACAAAAAAAGCAGACATTTGTTAAAACAGTACAGGCTTTGAAGACAGAAAAAACTGGTTTTGAGTCCTAGCTGTCATTTATTAGGGAACAATGGACACAATATCCTACCTTCTAAGAGCTTCAGTTTCCTCAAATGAAAATAGTTATATACAAATAAACATAGACCTGTATAAATGAGGATAATATCTACATTGTAGAATTTTTGAAATAAAAAATACACATCACTATGCTGGCGCACAGTAATTGGTAACTTAAAACACATTACTGTATCTTTAAACCATCACAGTTTTAGAACATTGTTGTGTATGTTTTAGTAATATTACCCAAGTTTAGTAGACTTAAGGTTTTACTGGGAGGGTTGATTTATTTTCTCTAAATTCTCTTGTCTGGATAACACAAAGTCCAAAATCATGAAATTCAGAATCATATGCTTCCACGTTTATTTTATATGGAAAAAGATAAAAAGGAAAGGTCACTTTAGGACTTTATTCAAAACTATCCTATAACTTAACACCAAAATCATGATCCATATAAGAAAATACTGATAAATGTGACTTCATCATAATTTTAAAAGGCCAGGCATGGTGTTGCATGCTTGTAAGGCCAGCACTCTGGGAAACTGAGGCAGGAAGCTCAACAGGTTAAAGGCCAGGTGGGGCAACTCAGTGCAAAGGACCAACCAATCCCTGCATCAGAGACACACACAGGGACGGACGGACGGACAGACAGACAGACAGAATGGGGAAAAAATTTTGCCAGCTATTCCTTGGGCAGAGGACTAGTATCTAGAATATATACAAAACTCAAAAAATTAGACCTTCCCAAAATAAAAAGATCTAAAAATGGGTAACTGCAATGAAAAGACATTTCTCAGAATAGGTATGTACAAATGACCAATAATTACAACACGGAAAAAATGTTTAACAACTCTGGCCATTAGAGAAATGTAAATTAAAGCAGCACTGACATTCCTTCTTATTCCAGAAATAATGGCTATTGTCAAGAAATCAAATGATAACCAAGGCTGCGAGGGAAAAAAGAAATCTACATTGCTGGTAGGAATGTAAAACAATACAACCACTTTGGAAATCAGCATGGAGATTCTTAAACTAAAAATAGAAATTCCACTCAACCCAGCTATTTCCCTTCTAGGTATCTTCCCAAAAGAGTTAAAGACATCATATTACAGTGATATGTGCACATTCATGTTTCTAGCTGCACAATTCGTAACAGCTAAATCTTGGAAGCAGACCATATGTCCAACAAAAGATGAACGGGTAAAGAAAATGTATTTATATACAATACAGTACTACTCTGTTATAAAGGATAAACAAGACAATGTAGAAAAATGGATGTACCTTGAGATCATGTGAAGTGAAATAAATCAGATATACAAGCTTAAATACTGCATGATCTCTCTTTTATGAGAAATCCAAAATACAAATAAAGAGCAAAATAAAAGAAAACAGGAAACAGGGACCTAGAGCTTTTGGAAAAGAGAAAGGGACAAAGAAACAAAGGAAGGAGAAGTGGATGAAAAAAAAGAATGAAGATGTGTTATGTACACATTCCAACTGCCCAAGATGAATATTAACATTATGTACTGCAAGCATGTACTAATAAAAAAATTTTTAAAAGAAAATCCAAGCCACGGACTTAATTTTGGTAGTATACATGTTAATTTAGGTCAGTCAATTATTAGAACAATGCCTAGCACATAGTTAATGCTGAGTAGGCAGTACTGTCCCTATTAAAATGTCACTTAATCAACAGAGCTTAACCGATTGTTAGTATTAACACAGACTTTGTACTGAGTTGCACAAACAAAAGGATTATTGTAATAGCATATACTACTCATCATATAGTAAACTCTGTTAATATATGAGTGCTTATTTTATTGTTTTGGTTATATATATTTTATCAATATAATATCAATTAAGAATGTAGGTTTGCAAAAACCAAAAAGAGGAAGAAGATTCTCAGAGCAAAGGGAGATTCTATTCACTGAAACAAAACTATAAGAAGTTATGATAGGAAAAAAAAGATAAAGCTTAATAGACACCCAAGGCATAAAACTTAGAAGTGACTTTAATTAAAAGGTGAGGAGGAAGCTGGGCATGATGGCACACATCTGTAATCTCAGCACTTGTGAGGCTGAGGCAGGAGGACCATTGTAAGTTCAAGACCAGCCTGGGCTACAAAGGGAGCTTAACACCAGCCTAAACTGCATAATGAGATCTTGTCTCAAAAACACCGAGGGGAAAAAAAAAAAAAAAAAGTGGAGGAATGGGGGTATCCTACTACTGACATATGAGGCAGTACCTAATGATGAAATAAATACAGTTTGGATAGGATCATCCTAGTAGTGGTCTCAGGCTCAGGATCTCCCCAAAACCTGAATCACTGAACTGAATCTATAGTATCATTTACTCCAGTTAGTTTTAAATGAACAATCTAGTCTCCTTCATTGAGTGCACAAAACAAATATACTTGATGGTTATAATTTTTTCCCAAATGTAGCAACAAACTGATTTAATAAGCTACTTTTATGTACACTGTTTTAAAATTCTTTGAAATAGGATGGTTTATTTACTCCATGTATAAGTAAAATTTATTTAATTTAGAAAGGTTGTTTACACATCAGAGGATTTCATTTGTTAAGATTTGCAAGTATTTGAAAACAATCAGCAATACTGAACTG